CGATATTACTGCACACTATTGGTTTAGTGCTTCGGGGCCTGCATTTCTGGAAGCAGAGGTTGGCACAGCGTGCACATTTGTGAAGCTTCCAAGCCCGCTTGGGCTGCAAAGTGGCCCACAGTTGGCAGTGCAACAGGCGGACTGAATCCACTTGTGCGAAGCTTTGAACGTTTGTACTTTGGTTTCCTCCCAAATGTCTAATGCTCATTAATAGAATTGGCCAAACGTGTACGAATGCAGGAGCCCTTCCGAAAGAGATTCTCAAAGTTCAGTGAGGCTTTCCTCATTATACATATTGAGTAACTGCTATTACTCAATAAGAGTCCCATTGACATATCCTTTATAAGGCGCACATTGGAGTAAAATACTCAAGTTAAACCTTAACACTTGTCTTTCTCTAAATGCTTTCAAAATAGAAAACTCCATGCGATTGAGTTAATTCTCTTGCAATCGCTTAAACCGAGTACAATTGAATAATTATAATGATCAGTGTTTTTTATATTGCGTCACTCATGCAAACTGCATCTGACAACGCTGTATCATCAGCAACACATGGAGGGCGCATATTAAGATGTTTTTTTGACAATTAATGATTGTTTATTATATGTGTGGGAGAAAACCCACAAGTGTGAGGGGGCAACACTCTATCCCTCTGATGATGGAACAGATGGAGGTTTGTCCACACATTTCTGCGACTGCCGTCGGCCAGAAAATCAAGGAATGGCACCGTGACACCCACCCACTGGAAGGGAGATTCACAAGATCCCTGCGGTGACCCACCAATCCTCGCTGCTGCCTTCAAAGCGCTGGATCACTACAGGCAACCGCGTGCAGCAGCATGGCAGCCACCACCCCCTCGACTCTTACAATGAGTTGGAGTTTCTTCTGTTCCGCCCTAAGTGCACGACTCGCACTTGGAATTTCCAGCTCACGAGCTATCTGGAAACATGCTCTGCTGGAGACATCCTGGGAAACACTCGAGCTACGAAGCGTCAAACAAAGCAGACGTGTAAAAAAACGAAATCTAGGCGACGTGGTGGTTAACTTGGTTGCTAAATGCAGGCAGCCTCCACTGTGATATTCATTGCACTCTATGGAATCACATGACGTCACTTGTTCCCTGTTCCATAAAAAATCACGTCCCTCTTATATCCAGCTGAAGCAGAATATCCCCGAATCACATTACACGGAGAGACTGTACGGGAAATTATGCTAAGCACGGTGAAACCAGCAGGTTCCTTGGACTTATGAGTTAAGTATCAATGCAAGGTTACGCTGTTGCTCCTTTATCCCATCAAAGCAGTCGCATTTTAGCTGTGCAAAATTGAAATTTTGTAAATATGTTGAACTCTTTCGCACGGTACGTAGCCAACCGGCCATAGAAAGAGTTTCAATGTGCACCACTGTGAACGTTGAATGACATCCATTGCAGACAGCAGAATCAAACATCATCGACACGCCGCCGCCGGTGCTGCATGTTAAAGCAACCATCAGCTGCGGTGATTAAACAATACCGATGATACTAATGGTGACAACAAAACAGAACTGAGTTCCGTGAACGTGTCAGCCGCCTGACAAAATACAGGTGGGGGGGGGGGGGGGGGCAACGCGGGCCTCGGCCTACCACAGAGGGCACGAATACAGCCTGCTTCTGTCTCACACTGATGAGGACGGCACTCTGGGAGGTGGCCCACCACCCTGGGCTGTAATTACTGCTCACGCCACGTGCCAAAAAGCAATAAAAAAATATATGTACGCGTGTGCGTAAGTGCAATTTAATAAATAAATGGCAATGCCGGCAGGCTGGGAGGTGAACACGCAGAGAGATGGGGGGGGGGCGGGGAGGAATGAAACTGGACCACCAAACAGAATGCCATTCCCCTGAACTGGCAGCTATAATGGCTAATGAAGTAATGCAGCAATAACAAACGCATGTAAAGTGAGCGCTCAGGTTGAGGGCTGGCATGGCGTAGCGGCCAAATTGAAAGCCATCTTCGGCGATGGTGCCAAAGCCACTCGGCGCGCATCTCCCCTTGATGGCGGCTGGAAAGCAACGCCCTGGCATGGGCAGCGATGTGGGTCTGCACAACTTGCAGCGCAGCCGGGCTCAAGCTGCGGACGGGCAAGCCCAAGCAAAACTAGTGAACGTGCGGTGACTTTGCGTGCATGCGGCATTTTAACGGATAATAACAACAACGGTTGTAACCATTGATGTCGCTTACCATGTGCGGGAGAGCCTTGCCGAGTTTCGAGATGATTTTTCTCGGCAAGGATGCAGACCCACTGGGATGTTTGGCCAATTTGTTTTTCAGAAATTTTCTTTGAGGCGGTGACCCGGCCCAGCGGTGGCGAGCTCACCGTGCGCTGCAGGGAGGGTCACGGCTCCAATCCAGCAGCCGCATTCACTCGAAAAAATACGTGCCGCCCGTTTCACAGCGGACGCGAAAGGTTCCGTGATGCCATTCTCAAAGACCCAGTGTTTGTGTGTGTGCCCGCGCCGTGGTCCAAGTTCGGCAAACTTTAAAACTTACTCCGCAAATGACTCGATTTCAAATATACAAAAGCTCAATGGGGCTTTCCTGGCTGAACAAGCGATTTACACCGTTGGCTACGTACGGTGTAAAAGAAGTTCCGCGTCCATACGTGCGATAATATTAATACGAATTCCAGTGAAGAAAAAAATAACTGCTCACAGTCACAAACATTGGCAAGCAGGTATGAACTTGGCAAAGGCTGACAGCGTTGATACTCGTCTGTTTTGCTATCCCGGTCTGCCTTTAGAGACGCACGCTTGAGTAGAGTGCTCTAGGAATCTGACAACGCACGTCATGACTTCACTTGGCTTCGTATACAAGTTCACCCTTGTGCATGTAATGTTATCGTCACTTGCTACTGCTGGCACAGAGAATGTTTTTTTTACACAATCGTGTTAACACAAGTGACTTTTGCTGGATAAGCGGCCAATTACAGCGCTCGGCTTTAGGTAAAACAAGTGCATTGAAGCTTCGCGTTAAGCAGACGTGATCCTGCATTGGGGAAACGAGAGCTATTTAGGGCATGTTGACGTTAGCCAATAAAAAACGTCCCTCATGGTCACTCCTTGGAAACTGTTCTGTCACTGGAATGCACGTTTTAAAGAAAACCATTTTACCATGGAGAACAATCCGAAAAATGTTAATCCGTTAAGAGAAAAGCAGAAATTAGTTAACCTGCGGCTGGTTTCACATTGTTGTGACATACAAATAGTTTTTCCCTGATAGCTGGCAAGATACGACGCACAGCCTAGCTGTGTTGAAGCCCATTGGCAGCTGTCCACAGGATGCCAAGTTATCTGATAACATGTAGGGTGACCCAGTGGAAACACTTGAGCCTCACCGCAAGAAGGACCTGGGCTCGATTCCCAACTCAGGCACGTTTCTCTGTGGCAATTGTATGTCCTCCCACTGTTCTGCAAGGTGGTTTCCTCCGGGTTCTCCGTTTCCTCTCATACAAAAAATATACAAACCCCACACAGCGTAGCTAGCGATAGACAAAACATCCCAATGCTGAATAAATTACCAGAAAATGTCTCAATTGGGATTCCACACAGCAACATCGCCCCCTAACTGTGAAAACTTGGCAGGAAACTCTCCGGTGGTGGGGGGGAGCCTCGAGACTCAAGCGAGGCTTTCCTGGGTAAGCAAAGCGTTTAATAAGTGTGGCGTGTGCAGGAGGTCAAGTAAAAGGGTGGCGGAGAAGAACAGTGCCACACATCTTTGTTAACTATGCCCGTGACAGTTGTCCGAGGCGGGGGTGGGGGAGATGTGAACCTTGGTAATAGAGAACAGCTCCTTCTGTATGTTCCGTTCCACGCCGGCTTCGATAAGCTAAGGCAGTTTTTTTTTCTCCCTCCCCCCGTTCGTTCTTGGGTGGGGGTCAGATTTCGCCGTCCATTTTAATAAGTGATTTTACATTCACAAGTTACCATGCACATTTTGAAAGGCACAGCCGCAGCCAACATTTTTTGGGCCTTTCAATTTCTGAGGGCTATCCGTGATGAGAAACAGGCGCGACTGTCAGTGGGGGTTGGGCGCTGTCTAGCTGTCGAGGATTTTCGAGAAGTTGGCGCAGAGCCCAACGCAGCATGCATTTAATGTTACCCTCTAGGAACTAGGGAGCTAAAATTCTCATGAAGGGGAACAAATGGTCAAGTTTAAGGGGATTTGTGAAAGTCGTGCATGCAAAGATATCCCTGGGGCGTGCGCGAGTTGATGGGACAGAACAACATCTGACCATTTCGGAATCTAGCAAACAGGCCAACGTACATAACGGCTTAGATATTTTTTTCAGCTAGGTTTCGTCTGGAAGAAATTACTCCCAAACTGCCTTGAATCCCACGCCATGCTCGCAGCCTTAAAAGGCATTTGACAACACGCCTATAATTCCATTACCACCCTTATGGGTTTGTCTTATGCGAATAATCTCTGATAAATAAGCCCGTAGTCAACCATTGTGTGCAATATATGATGGCATTGGTGACTCACGCTCGAGTATTACTATGTGTGTGTGTCTGACATTAAGCATAAGCAATACTGTACAGAAAATATGAATCTGATGAGACGCTGCGTGTCGAAACAAGTCCAGTGTGTTTGTGTTGACCTATTGCTGCCGCCAAAAATTATGCACTCCCTGAAGGCTGTGTAGCTGTTGGGATGTGCAAAAAAACTTTTTTGTTTACGTGCAAACACAGTTGTGTGAAGGAGGTAGTGTATCGTTCGCAAAGTTTTTGTTGTTACACGATTATTATATTTCAAAGTCCATTCAGGTACAATTAGGCAGCCGGTCCTCACCGTTAACGAATGCACCATGGTTGCTGACGATGCCTGCACTTGTTGTTGTTGTTGTGTCGTTTATTCACCCAAGCGATGAAAAATACAACTAAACCCGTGGAGATGCACGAAACATCATCACTGCAAGGACGATGACCCTGGGGTGGGGGGGGGGGAGGTCACATCGCTTACCTTCGCAGGGCTGCAGAATCAGAGGCAACAGCGGCCGAAGCAGCGCCGGAAAGTAGAGGTGAAGAGGGATCCGCACCTGGGCCATCAAGCGCAGACGGGGACGAGAATATATACGACTTGCCGCATCGCCGCGCCAGCGCCTCGCTCGATCGGGGCGATTAACTTCACAGAAGGCGAGCGGCGGGGTGACCCCGCACGAGACCGAACCGTTAGCTCGCCACACAATCACGCCATTGTGCGGCTTTATTACGTCGTCGGTGGCACTGCTCACAAACAGCTCTCGGGGCGAAGAATGCGCATTTCGGTACGGAATAGCAGCTACGGTTTTTTGTTTTGTTTTTTAGCGAGCGGTGTTAGCGTCAGGAAATGAGCCCGTGGGAACGGCCCAGCCCGGGCCGGCTGGCCGGCCTGCGGACGCGCAATCGCCGTGGCCCGCGAGGGCGCCCACCTGCTGGACGTCGTCCTGCTGCCTGGCGCGCAGGAAAGACGCGGTGAAGCGGCGCGCGATGGCCGACACCGGCCAAGCGCCGGCGGCATCCGCAAGCAGCGCTCTGGAATGGTCATTGTTACAACAATCACGCCAAAACACACGGTCAACTGGCTGGCTGCGAAGCACTCCCCAAAGAATAGACGCAACTAGATAACAACTCCCGAGTGGTTTTTGTGTTTCCCTTCAATCATCTGTGCAATTTCAAGGTAATGGGCACATTTCAAGATTGTACTTGTTGTAAGGGCGGCGCAATGGTAACACTCGCGCCTCACAGCCAGAAGTGCCTGGGTTCGATTCCTGACTCAGGCACCTTTCTTGTGTGGAGTTTGCACCTTCTCCCCCGGTTCTGTATGGGAGTATCCCCAGCATCTTCGGTTTTCTCCCATTGCTAACAACAACATACAATGTAACTGGTATTGGCGAACAAACATCCTAATGCTGAAAAATTACCTGCCACTTACTTCATTGTTGGGAATCAAACCCAGAACCTACTTGCTGCGAGGTACCAGTATTACCGCTGAGGCACCCTGCCGGCCAACGTTTTTGCACCGCGTATTCGTCCACCCAGTGAAACACGTAAAACTATGCCCGCCTATCCTGCAAGAACAGGCTGTCCGCAGTCACACCTTAATTCCTTATAAAGGCACAAATCTTAATGCGTCTCAATACATAACACCTACATTCCATTGAGCATGGATTGCTGTAAGAGCAGAGCTGTAGGAGCTCGGCAGGAGTGTTCAAACATGAAAGATATAAATGAACGAATAAAGAAAATAACACAAAGACAGTGTTGCGTGCAAAATCATCCTGGCATCAAAGCCAGACGTCATCCATACCTGCCCTTCCCAAAACTCCCATCACGCCCACGGTCGCGACGCTACTCTCTCTCGATTGCCTTTGTCATCGCGAGCGCTTTTTTACGTAACTCTGACGAACGCGCCGCACCGCCAAGTGAGAAGTTGCCAAGCACCAGCGCTCTTGCATAAAACGGGCCCCCGGTCTTGCAAGCATGCGTCGAGTGGGGGAAATAATCCGCGCCGTCTCCACCGCCGTCGTCGCAGGGAGTGACGCGAACAAAAAAAACTGAATGGTAATTTTCTGATTATTTGTTAGATCTGGGAGCCAAAGTAATTTTGCAAGATATGCCTACATAAAAAAATCACTCACTAAACAATGCAAGCAGCTGCTCGGCTGCTAAGAGCATAGTTTTCTTATTACAATGCTTATCTAAAGGTTTAGAAGGACTTGTCAGGATAGACCCTTACTGGATAATAGACAAATAAATGGTGTCACCAAAATGCATTTTATAAAGGCTGCATTCACAAACGTCCTTAAAACATCACTCAATGTTTGTTGAAATGCGTAGAAAATCACACTCATGCTTAAAGCACTTTACAAACGACTTGAAAAAAGCCGTTTCGGTTAAGCCTGCCGGCTTCATATGCCCGAGATCCATTTCGTGCTGCCCAAATTGATTCCAAGTACTATTTGAGCTGGAATGTGCCAGCTACCTGCGAACCGTGCGGGCACGGTGGTGGTGGTCATGTGACATGGACCGTGTGGGCCATTGAAAAGGTCCCACCCAGCTCAGATGATTTTGCAAAACAGCAGACGTCGAGAATTTTAACAGATTGATTGGAGAGGCTGTGCTGGTGCACAAGCTCGAGTAGTACTCTAACACGTACGTCTATAACACAGGCCTGAAAATAAAAAAAAAATATATAGATAATAGGTGATGTTTTGGCAATGGTATCCTTCTTCAAAGTACATAGAGAGGCCAGAGAGATGGAATGGACACTATGGGGCCTAATGAGAATAACATTAAAAAAATGCAGACCAGTTGTTAAATTAGTATATGGAAAGTTACCAATTAGTAGCCATTGAGTAACAGACAAGCTCTTTAATCATAACAATAAAGTGTTTACAGATAAACTAATTTATGTGACAGTTAAAATTCAACAATGTTTCTGGCACATGGCATGGTGGGAAGATTTGTTCCCGTGAGCACAAGGCACAATCCACCTGGCAATGCACCCCCGGGCCCAGACACCGGGAAAGGAAAGCACGTGTCTCCAATATGCGCGGCTTCAGAAAAGTGTCTTCACGACGCACATTAATGAGCATGTGCCCGCCAATTGCTCCAAACACAACGGCTCTGGCGGACGGTGCACAGATAGGTTTTTTACGGGCGCACGCGAAACCGAGTAACTTTGGAGGACTTTGAAAAAATAAAATTCCACAGAAGGCACACATTTACTTTTGTTCTGTAGCACGTGCGCAGGCTGCTTCTTGTGCCAAAAAACTGGTGAAAGGGTAAACAGGCCGTGCGCGCTCTCTTTCTGATAGCTCTACACGCATACTGCTGACAGTCCCTGGAAGGCTGCTCGTTAAAACAAGCCAAGCCAAACATGCGCGCGGAGGGGAAAAACAATTTACAGCGGAAATTAAATAAATAACAGCACAGCATCGTGCTTCCAAACCACTGCCTCTCCCTTGCAGCGGCAATCATAACATCGGCGCACGAACCAGAAAGCGGTTCAAGCAAATCCGATTTGACATGGCGGAATATATTTTTTTAGACTACATGTGAAAAACGATTGCTCGTCGACGACGGTTGTGAAGGTGTGTTTCAACGTGATTATTATTGCAAAATTATTCCTGCAAGCTACAACCGCACACCAAAAATGACTTGGGGCTATATTTAAATATACAAAAACGACCCTGATAAACTAGAATCAGATGTAGTTTAACGCAAAGTACCCACGCGTAGTTTAATCCTAATGCGAGAAAATAACGCAACTTTGCATGGAGAGCCTGCACAGGCCAAAGTGTCCACGGCTCGAGAAACTGGTAAACCTGCTTAAAATGGTTCTTAAATGTGCAACAATGCATGGTATGTTCCGCCAATAATTTACCAAATATTCAGGAAAGTATAAGCGTAATCACAATTTGCAAGTGATTGCATCTTATTGGAAAAAAATTCTAAAAGCCGAGCAGAAATATGATGTAGTTACCAACAAAAAAATCAACGGCGTGTGCTCCAAATCTTTGTGTAATGCACGAATGCACAGGGAAGGCATGTCGATTCTCGAGACAGTGCTAGTGTTGCCTGGAGATGTAATTGAATCCGACTCCTGCTTTAACAAAAAAAAGTTCCTTTAGAACTTCCACGGCTGTGCGGTGAATCCGGAGACGTAAACGGGACATCTGGCAGAATTCTACTCCAACCTGGGCTGCTTCTGGATCAATGCGGGGAAATAGTTTAAGATGGGAGATTGCCATCTGATCTACGGACAGGTATATAATTTTAAATCCTGATGAGACAAGATGTCAAATAATAAGCAAAGAGGAACCATGGCCTCTGCCATTCGCACAGGACCAACCAAAGTAAAATTATACCAATGCATGTCATAGCCTTTCGAGTAAATGCGTTCATATCTCACGTAAAAATCATGCAGCGTTATTTCGGAAAATAAAAGTAACCAAATAAAAAATCAGACCGTATACTTCTTAAAAAAAATAGTTTTACATATCGCATCAGCCACACTGCCTTTTGTGAGTGAAGATGTTGAGCAGCAAACATTGGGCTTATTGACTGATAAGGGTTACAACTGTGTGCTTTTATTTAGCTATGAGAGAAAACAAGATATCCCACAGGAAACAGATGCAGAACAGGGGGAGAACATAGCAACTCCTCACACTTTTACACTCACACTGTAAACATGGGGAGATCATGCAAACACCTAACAATGATACACTCACATTCACGCTCATTCAGGAGAACATACGAGTTGCACACAGAAAGGCGCCCGAGTCGGGAATCGAAACCCGGCCCTTCTTGCTGCAAAGTTCAGGCGTCACCACCACTGCACTGCCACTCAGTTTACCTCCCCCCACCCCCCCCACGTGCGTCCCAGATTCCAGTTCACACCACCGCCAAACTCACCGGAGTATGCCGAGGACTGCGCCAAACAGGACGGGGTGGTCAACGCACGCTGCAGGCTGTAGGAAAGAAGGTCAACAGTTACGCAGTGACACATTCATTCATTATATTCCAACAACAACAAAAACGGAGGGTGCAACACTAATGGGGGGAATTGAAATAAACCGGTGAGGAAACATGCCCTGCTGTGTACAACACAGCCAACAGAGGCATGCCATGCTGCCAATGAGACTGGACAAAACTGGATACCATGAAGCTATGGAGGAGGGGGTGGCGGTTCGGGTAACCTGTGGAAGATTTTAAGTAAAATATAACCTCTTTAAAAGCCTCGTGTTGCAATCAAGAACATTGACGACTTTGGCAAATACATTTAAGTTTCCGAATTAACACTTTAAGGCTTTCAAGAAAAGGAAAATGTACTCCGTGTGAGGACAGCAAGGAGGGAAATGCATTTCAAGCGTTATTAAAATTGCACAGTTCTCTGCGACCCTTATGTGTTTACACGCACGGAGTAGAATAACTTTTTCTGTAGGGAAATCTGCCTTCCACTTTTTCCACCCTTTTTTGCTGAAATTAACATTCACTATTCCGTCGTTAAAAATACAAAAACCAAAACTAAGTAAAGTAAGTGCTGCCACCTGCTGGATAAATAAGTATGTTACCCATACTCCTGGGTTCTATTCGGTAAAGTCACGTAGGTAAAAAATAACACAAAAATCACGACGTTTCGGCCACAACACAAGTGGCCTTCATCAGGTGAAGGGACCGTGCTGTCACGAAGACAGCATTCCACGCTGTCTTCGTGGGCGAAACGTCGTGATTTTTGTTGTTTTATTTTTTACCTACGTGACTTTACCGAATAGAACCAAAGAGTATGGATCCTTGCAGTCACGAAAGCTTCAAATCTAGAATGTTACCCATGGCAGTACCAGCAATACAGCCACCAACAACTCCCAAAACTGACATTTATAACAAAACATGAGCGGCTTGCTTATCAGCGCCAATGCATTGCAACGATAGCCAAGAGCAACAAGATACATTGCAGCAACGTTCCATATCTGCATTAACTATCGACGCACTGTTTTCGGAAAGGAAAATGCGATGCCAGAGGTGAAGTCAATGTGATTCCCTGCTCACATTGACCATTGAGGCGATTGTCACCTCCTGTTCACAGCCCCAAGCCAAAGTGGAAAGTTTACATTCCTATGTCAGGGCAAGTACATCCATAGGGCAACCATAGATGTCTTCCATGGAAAGTGGTACTCATTGTTATGATTATGATGGGCCGAGCCAAACCCCAACCAGGATTTGAACTCAGAAAGTTTTGATTGGGAGCCGCTCCCTCCACCACCAAGGTGGCTCAAGGGATCCAATAATAATTCTGGACTGGACAGATATTGGAAGCTGCAACTTCTTTAAACATGTCGTAAGACTCGGTGAGACTTTAAGAATACAGAATTGTATTATTCTTATTCAGCTTGTTTACCTTGGAAAGCCCCACCGAGTCTCAAGACTCTGTCACAAGGGTCCTGCCAAGTTTTCACAGGAGGCGATGCTGCTGCTGCCGTGTGTAATCCCAAGCAAGTTATTTCCAAGGTAATTTTTCAGCATTGGGCTGTTTGATCATTACCAGTTAGGCTGTGTTTTTTTGCTATGGCAGGAATGAGAGAATCCGGAGGAAACCCCATGCAAGAGGGGGAGAGAACATACACATTCATCGTAGAAAGGCACCAGAGTCAGTAATTGAACCCAGGCCCTTCTTGCTGTGAGCCACAAAGTCTTAATTTTGCTTCACACAACCATACAAATAATGACATTAAAAAACACATCAATGGCCCCATATGAAGCAATGCAGTGGTGAAGCTGTTACGAGATGTTATCAGGTGGAGCTGTTACCAGGTGAAGCTGTTACCAGCTGTTACTAGGCATTACCAGTTTGAGCTGTTACCAGGTGAAGCTGTTACCAGGTGAGGCTGTTACCAAGTGAAGCTGTTACCAGCTGTCACCAGGTGAAGCTGTTACCAGCTGTTACTATGTGTCACCAGGTGAGGCTTTTACCAGATGGGACTCCTCTGTAAGGCTCTGTAGCCGGCCCGGTGCTGAACCTGGGGGCAGAGCAGCCACCCTCTCCACCAACGCCAGCACGGCGGCTTCCAGAGATGGCAGGTGGCGCAACCACAGGCTCTCCTTGGCGGCACGCGACAGCTGAAGCCGACCGCTACGCACCACAGCCACGCACAGCCACACCCAATTCATACCGGTGGCCACAATCCATGCCATAGCACGCTTTTGTGCACAGTGGGACAGATAATCCCCTACTTAAGCCCCCCACCCGCCCCTTTCAAACGTTATAATGTTGCGTATCTGGCACTATTTTCATACGACGCCATTCTTGGCCAAGGTTGGGAGACGTTTATGTATACACGTCACGGGAAGGGCCGTTGCTGAAAACGTTAGCCTGTTGCATATGTTTATTTCTGTTATAAGGCAGTGTTCATGACAAACGTAGCGGGTTTTTATTGTGGTCGTGCAGCACTGCCATGCAATTGCTGGATAATTGAGGGCTGTCCTTGAAAGAACTCGACAGTCACAAGAGTCCATAAGAGGTTTTTTTTTTGGGTTAGATCACGTGAAAATATATGAATGTGCCGTTAAACCCGCCACCACCCGACACAGCCAACTAGTAAGGTTGGCACGTAAACAGAACGCGCTAATTCGTCACCGGTACAGCACACCGGTGTGTTGGAGAGCCAAGCCACGACATTTACAATCTTGAGTACGACGTATCGCCAGTAATTACAACCAGCTTCATCAGGCGACGGCCAGATGTTTGGAGAAGTCCACCTGTTTCGTTCCTTATACAGAGGCGTAGATGACGTGGTGATCACACTTCTACACTCTTGCGCGAAGTGGGGAGGGGGATTAATGAGTCAACGTACATTATGCATGCGCATTATGCGATCCAATTGATCTTGTCCTTCCTGTCTATTGTGTGTATTAAAATAGCGTACCAACGGTAATCCCTACTGAAGTACGCTTGCCTTTTATAGGCATGCATTTAAACAATGTATTATTTGATGATTCGCTTCCACGCAGCACTCAGTCGGTAGCTATCCGAACCGCTTTAATTAGTTTTTTAAATTTCAATTTCAATCGATTCTCTAATTAGTCTTGAATCCTTTGTCCATAAATTCGGGCTTTATTGGGAGTAGGCCGATTAAGTGGGTGAAGTGAGTGAATGATTACGTTTGCGTGGTCATTTGTGAGGAGCTGATTCAATTGCAAGTATATAAACGATGAATAGTCAAGTGTTGTTCAATAAAGCCAGCAAGGGTTATACATTTTTACACCATTACATTCTACATCCGTCCACCTATAAGGGCTGACAAAGATCAGAGGTCTTCTTTGCACCATAGCCAAGGGTGTCTCATCAAGATCTTTTTGCACCACACCCATCGTGGGATGCTGCCATCGTGCAATGTTCAACAAGCCGGATTTGCTGTGCAGAGGTCAACGGTTCAATGTTTTCACATGGCAGTCGAAACAATGGGGCACATTCATTAAATCCCTCAACCTCAGTCCACGCATCACTTTTAACGGGTGCGCCAGTTAGTCGATCAGTAGGTTACGCGTGGCGGGGTAAAGTGTGGGTACCCCAAGCTCTTATAATGTCTGGCCAGTGTGGCGGGGCTGTTTAAAGCTCCTTCTAGGGGACGCATTTCCGCCAACGTGAGCAAGTAATTACGGGGCTGCACCATTGCCTTTAATGCTCATCACCTCAGGTCACGGTGTATAACCTTTTCTTTTCATAGGTGAAAGTGTTGCAATTTTAAATATATTCCATTCACAAACACTACAGCCGCAATTCGCCAATAAGTGGCGGTGACGTCACCACAGTGCTTGTGCCAGGCTAAGTGCACTTTGAGGCCATCACGTGAAGTGTGGAAGGCTCAAACTGAGGTGAATGGTAGTGATGCCAACTTGCTTCGTTCAGCCACCTGGTGCTTTGCTCATTATTGTGAGCGTTGCTCCTTCTGCAAACACACACGAGACTATTCAAGCATGTCAGCTTACCTGGCCAGGGCATCCCCTGCAGCTTGCAGGAAGCCGGTCGCCAGGGCTTCTTCCGTTCCCTCACCGTGGCAACAAAGCAATGTCTCCACCAATGGCAACATGGCAGGGAGGTCGAGCGCTGGCCAGCAGGCAAGAGAGAGGCTGTGCAAGGTGGCATCCCTGCAAGCCCTGCCACCCACAAACATAACTATAGCCAGCAGGCCATGCGGTTTGAGGCAGCAAGTCACAATTGTGCTCGAAGTTAAACGTATCACTGCTGCGTAGACGGAACATGTAGGTTTTTGCAGCCAATATAATGATTCGTAAGATATTTTTGAGTTAAGCCATGCAGTGATCTGGCCAAATCTGTGTTGCAAGACCCTCCGCCACCACCCGAAGGCAATGAGATTCATGAAATCAGTTATGACATTATCACGGGTTTCATTCCGACTTCATATATTTTATCCTGATGATGCTTTGCGCAGTTTCAAGTAAAACATAAAAAAGAAAATTGCTCAACTCACCGTTGAGCTCACCAATAATAACCGGTGCATTAAACGCTTGCACACTTTACGATTTAATCTGTTTGGCTGTCGGGTGGTGGAGGGTCTAATGACACAAATGTAGCCTGTGGCCTAACCAAAAATTCCATCACCTCCAATTAGCACGGTTGGCTACATACGTTGCAAAAGTTCAACATACATACATACAGGAATAGGTTTTACCCTTTTAACTGGCACAAAAACTGACACCGTTATTCAAGGCATCATGTTTGCAATAACCACAACACAAGCAGTCAAAATGCAAACAAAAAAGACAACTCTGATAATAATATGCACTGTCCTTGAATTTGATTGGTCCACACCCGAGACGGCTTTTCTTAGAGCCTAGTCTCCATTGGTGTTGAACTAGAAGACGCCAAAAGGCGTACAACTCAAAAACAGCGCACTATCAGAGTATTGAGGGCTCGGGGTGAGCATTTACATTATGAGACCTCCTTTGCCAGTAACAAGATATAGGAATAGGTTTTACCCTTTTAACTAGCACAAAAACTGACACCTTTATTCAAGGCATCATGTTTGCAATAACCACAACACCAGCAGTCAAAATGCAAACAAAAAAGACAACTCTGATAATAATATGCACTGTCCTTGAACTTGATTGGTCCACACCCGAGACGGCTTTTCTTAGTGAATTACTGCAAGGACTGTGTGGTGTGAGACATGTCAAGCAAGCTTACCCTGTGCTTTGATGACCTGGCCTCCAGTGACTGCCACTCAACTCCTTAACTAACGAGTTCACCATCTGTTGTTGAGAGTCAGAACACATTGGTTCATTTAGTATACAAGTAGTAAGAGGCATTCAATTCCCATCAAACAATATGCGCCAATTATCGTTACAGTTCAAGTCATGCTGTGTAATTTACATAGAAATTTAATTACTGTAATCAATAATTTCGAAAAATTTACCCACGTGAAAATCTGGACTGTGAGTGTCAAGGAGAAATTGTATTTAGGCTGTAGAGTCTAGGGTTGAATATGGTTGCAAGAGCCTGCTGTGGATTAACCAATAAAATATAACCTTTTTACCCTGGAAAGCAATAATGAGTCCAAAGACTCTTTTTTGAACGGGATTGTGGCCAAGACCATATATAGCGTATGGTTTCATCTTTTTTGTTTGTGTTTTAGCTATGTGAGGAAAGCGGAGAACAGGAAATAAACCCACTCAGAACCGAGTAAGCAATCAAACCCAGGTGCTTCTTTCTGAGAGGCAAGGGTGTTAACTATAACAACGCTACGTGCAAGATTCAAGGGTTCTCACATGAAGGTTCTGCTGGTGGTTGTACACATCTGGTGAGCAGCCAAGGACGTCCACAAAGAACTGAATTTCCTCTGTTCCTCTGGAATAGTGTGGTCCCAACAGAGCAGACACCATGTTCTGGAAAGTGACGAGATTGGTTTTGACAACATTGGCTCCAAGACTTCATCACGTTCATTTCACCCTCCGTCGCGTCGATTCAAAGTGCATTTACAACTTTAATAAATGACGACTTTTGCCACTGAGCATGACTATTTTAAATGTCACACCATGTTAATCTCTGAAATAAATGCCACGGTCAAAGTTTATTTACATAACCGCCAATTCGTCTAAAAGTGCTTATAGGCTCTTTGAGGAACAAAACAGCCTGTTGCTTGCATTATTCAAACATGCTGCATTGTGTAATTTGTCACAGATCTATGAAGCCTTGTGAATTCTCCCTACCATTGACATATAAAATAACTTCTGTAATGCATACGGAACGTGCCCTATAACTGATGCTTTGTACAGCTCAGAACGGTTAATTGAGTTATATGCTGCTAAAAGGATATATAAAATACTTATCATCATCATCAAACTAGATCTATCCACGCCTAAATGAAGGCATCCTCACCCCATTCCTCAATCCATCTTGCTCCTGCGCTTGAGCTGACCTCATACATTCATTTCCGCAATGGTCATCGTCTGCTGTGTTTCCCACCTTTAACTGTCATTCCATCACCAGTCATTCACTGGGCATCACCCCGTCTAGAGGAATCCCTCCGCTTACTTTCCTTCAAAGTCAACATGACTTTTCTAACTTGCATTCCTTCTCTGATGCAACTGTTCCTCTTTCTGCCTCTCAGTCGCATGCATCTCTCCATGCTTCCTATTCACCTTCTTTGCCATTGTTTCTGATCCAAAGGCCAAAGCAGACAATATGCAACGATTGAAAACTCTCTTCTTTAAACACAATAAAATGTTTATTTTCATAATACGATGAAGCTTTACAAAAAACACCACACCTTGCTTGTATTCACCTATATTTCGTAAACGTAATGCTGGTCCGCCTTCTATAATTTCTATAGGTACACATATGCTGATGCATATTCTAGCTATGTTCCTCCAAACAGATATCTTCAGTGGTCGAGCAAGACTTGTTGTACACGGTTTTGCTTTAATGATATCAATCTTAAGCCCAGTGGGTGTACAAGCACACGTAACAATAGCTTTCAATATTCGTCCATAACACTGTCTGGCGCTTTGAAAAAGGACCACTGCGGAAATGCCGCCTGTAATATATATGTGCGGTTCATTTTAAGGCCACGGTGTTGACAAACGTATTGAATTTAAACTACCGACACATGAAAGGGACACGCATTCTCACCTGAAGCCACTCGTTGGCCTTGCGCTCAAGGGCAGTGCCTGGCTGGGCTGTGTAAAAGTTTCCAAGGCAACGCCGCAGGCCTCTGATGCTTTCTCCTGACAAGCAGATGGTACGCATCTTTACTGCAGCATAAACCCTCCTCGGAGGTCACCTTTGACTCCAAAAACATGCCAGAGCGTAAAATGGACACTCCTCTCTTTTATCTGCCCATAACCTTCAAAGGGAGAATTGTAGCTGGTGGTGGTGCTGGTGCTGCGTATATTTTCTCCCTTCAAGTCAACAACTGTGTTAGCCATGATCCCAATGTGCATACAGTGAGGGGAAAAAGTATTTGATCCCCTGCTGATTTTGTACGTTTGCTCACTGACAAAGAAATGATCAGTCTATAATTTTAATGGTAGGTGTATTTGAACAGTGAGAGACAGAATAACAACAAAAGTCCAGAAAAACGCATGTCAAAAATGTTATAAATTGATATGCGATGCTCCCAGAAAAAAAACCTTAAACCATGCCCGGCCCACCAATATTTTGCGGCGACCCGGGCTACCGCCAATCGATTCAAATGCACGCTGCCATTTCACATGACAGTACTTTACTAAACACCCTTTGTGTATAACTTGGAAATGGGTTGAGCACATTCAATTGTTCAGATGTGCATTTATACGGAACAATATACTTCTGCAAAAAATTCCATCATCTCTTTTAAAACTCTGTAACTTATTTGTATGAACACTCCATTTGGTTATTTGCAAATGTGATTTACATGTTTTCTTTCCCGACTGACCTTTTGGTGACATTGAACACAATAGTGAACAGTTATAACTGGAACACATTAATTTCAAGTCAATGGTATTATGCCTCAGACAATTTGACTTACAATGTTAGCCGACACGTGTTTTTGTTGTCATGATTTATAGGATGAATCAGAATAAATGTACGCTGTGTGCTACGAGTACCCCTTTGTGGGAAATTCAACGGTGATTGTTCTATAGAGTTTCTTCCCCTGTCATAAGAATGTGGAATTTCCACCCCTGGCTCAGGGCTGTAATCAGGACATGAGCACTGCCTCAATGATCATTTGAGCAGGAAATTACTTTTGTGAGTTTGGCTTAGACCATAAAGATTTTCACTCAAATATGTTTTTCCTCCGTAATTAATATGGTTGAATCTATATGGACGTACGCCGTGTGATAATTTACCGCGGCCAAAAACAACACAAATGAGGTGACAGAACGATAGTTTTTTTTAGAGCACTGTAATTGCAGAGTGTGGGTGATTGTGTGTGAGCCACAGTCCTCACCGTTGGACACAACAGCAACGTTGCAGCACAGGCGGCCAAGCAGCTGACCAATCAGTGGGAAGCGTCGAATAGCGCCTGTCACACCCTTCAAAAAATAATAAAATGAACAAAATCAAAACATAACAAGGTTTAAAAATAATGCATATGCATGGCCTCTGCAAGGCTCTCCAACGTGCGATAGTCATCGGAAGTATTTCGTTGGCGATTATAACGTCACCTTCCGAGCCTAATGAGATGACATCACATGTTATGATGCCACCTCGCGATGTCCTACATAACGACTGGCAAGGCAAATTTGTGTTTGTTGGGGCAACCACTTGATCAATCAGGTTTAGTGAACCATTCATGCTTTTGGCCCTCAAGACCAGGCTGTGGGATAATACAACGGCAGTCCCTAGAGGTCACTTGTCTACTGTGCAGCAGCTGCCAGGTCTGGCAATGCGTAGAGCGTAGCAAAAGCGTTGGCGATGATCCTTTGGTCACGATGTCATCTTAACCTTGATCTTTGACCTCAAGTTTAAAAGCGTGAAAAGCCCAACACGTGAGGTTAATTTAGCGGTAGATTGTGACACGCGTGGTGAAACACTGGTGGCGCTATCCTCCTCCTGCACTTCCGATTAGAACGGTTGGCTACGGACACTGTGAAAGACGTTCAACATAAACCTATATTTATTTTTATCAGGTAAGGCCGACTGAGCAATATAGCTCTGTTTTAGAAGCGACCTGACCATCACAAATGATAGCTCAACGAAGTGGCTCATCATGTGGAAATGTATAGAAGCCAAAAACTCCAAATATACAGCAGGTGTCAGAATCGGGTTAGGACCCACGACCTCCTGTATACCAGGCAAGGTAGTTAACATCGTTCCACATACATACATACCCCGTGGCTGGTGATGTCGCAAAGTTTCGCGAGGAATTCCTGCAGCGCTGGCAGACGGAAGCATATGTCGGCAAGAATTGCGTCCGTTACATGTCCAGCTGTTTCCTGAGTACACAAATGCTCCCACTCTTTCGCCTTCTGCAGCCAGAATTCCAAGTCGTCATTAACACCTCGCTCGGCCATGGCATTTGGCGGTGCACCCGTTGTGAATTTTCAAAACTGGGAGAAAAAAATGATAAAAATTTTATATTATTAATGCGCCAACAGAAAAACGCGGGTTCAAATGTAAACGCGTAATGATCTTGCCTTGTGTTACAGTATTGTGTTGCAATGCTACTTGTTTGCACAAAAGTATCGACTGGATATGGGTACCTTAAAAATGTATCATAGCACTGTGATACCACATTGGCATTGGTGCACAAACGCAAATACTGTAACTGAATGTTTCTATTATTTTGCATATGAAAGAAATAGGCCTCTTATATCATGTACATTGTTTATTCTTCAAGGGCAGTGTTATTGCAGATGTTGAGTGTTTGTTATTTGTGAACGATCCACTTAGTTTTCTTGAGAAGACTCGAAGCTGATCCAAATGTCTACATCATCTCATGACATGACACTGATACCACAATCGGGATAATATGAGGGGAGGGGGCGGGAAATGACAAGAAATAAAAGCTAAAATATATAATTACCCTACTTCGGGATCAAAATTAGCTAGATATGGGGTTAGAACCATTGCTTCATTTCTCACTCAATATTTTCTCTGAACACTTCTCAGGCTAGCTTAGAGTAGCAATTATCAGTTTCATATACTACTGTAGTGTCTTAAAAAAATACTCACATGGACACGTTGTAACAAGTCACCTGCTTACACTTTATTTCACCTGTTCTTGCACCGGTTATAGGCACTCCTATAACTTTCAATTTAAAGCTTTCGTGACTGCAAGGATTCATCTTCTTTGGTTCTTTCGGCAAAGTCACGTAGAATGAGAATAAAATAATAAATTGATAAAATAAAATAACACACAGCTTAAAGGTCGTGATCTCAGCGTGGCTTTCTCACTCCAGCGCTGTCCTCCAGACAGTCTCGTCCCCTTCACCTGATGAAGGCCGCTTGTGTTGTGGCCGAAACGTCGTGAGAATATTATTGTGTTATTTTATTTTATCAATTTATTATTTTATTCTCATTCTACGTGACTTTACCGAAAGAACCAAAGAAGATGACTCCTATAACTATCTGTACGATGACATATACTTGACTTCTCCCTGCTCTTATATATTCTGCAACTCAATTATCCTGCACACAGCGACTTCGCACTCAGCGACTCCGCACACAGCGACTCCGCACACAGCGACTTCGCACTTAGCGACTCCGCACTCAGCGACTCCGCACTCAGCGACTCCGCACATAGCGACTTCGCACTCAGCGACTCCGCACACAGCGACTCCGCACTCAGCAACTCCGCGCACAGCAGCTTCGCACTCAGTAACTCTGCATCTCCACCGCTGCCTTCACCTACGCTCCCTCAGACCCGCTCACCCGTCTGTCCCGGGCGGGGGGTTCAGCCAACACCCCCCCGGCGACGGCGTGAGGTCCCGTTGACGGCTGGAGCGGCAGCGGCAAGATGTCTTCACTCTTGGTTCCCCGGCAACAACTCCCTCTCGCTCGCTCACACACACTCCCGCTTATATCCCCCTGCTCATTCCGAGTCCTCACGTGCTTCCACTTAAGCTCCCGTCAGCTTGGCGCCTGTTGCCGCATTAATCCCTTATCATCACCCCCCCATCTCCCGTCACCTAGGCGCCAACTTCCGGTCACAGCGTACCCACCTGTTCCACCTCAGTTGCACCCGCTTCTGCCCTTAATTACTGTCGGTTTGTCGGCGCAAACCTCATGTTGCAAAGCGCACACCTGTTTCCCCTCAGTTGTACCCGCTTAACTGTGCGCACCGCGTATTTCTCTCCTCTACACTACCACTAGAGTATAAGGTACGCCTATATTACTGCACCCCATGTCCTATGAACGGATTTATGAAAGCTAGGAGGAGAGAACAAGGAGATATGTGGCTGAGATTAAGCGCCGGTTATAACTAGGAATAGAACAGACTCGGAACTTAACTCAGAATTCTGTTCATTGCGTTTCGGTTCAATAGTGTTGATGGAAGCATAGCTCATGATGTAACTGGCAGATCCCCGTATTTTTTTTACAAAAACACATGTTCTATTCTAGTATGAAAAAAAAATAAGAAAAGCTTTTACCCTTTCCGGCAATACAACAGGTATTCAGATGGTCCTTGCAAAGGGTTTCTAGTGTCTGAACATCTTAACACGTGTTTAATTGCCAGAAAGCGGTAAAAATTTGTTACTTTTTCATACTTTGAGCCTGACAAAAAAAAGGTCCCGTGTTGTAAGCTGCTCACCGCGAGCTGATAGTGCATTGCCCTTGCACTGTTCGCATTTGGCGTTCTCCGGTGTAACACTGCTTGAGACTAGGCCCTGAAGAAGGCCGTCCCGGGCGCAGGCCAATCAGTTTAAAAACACAATGCATATATTGATTTGAAGCTTTCGTGACTGCAGGAATCCATACTCTTTGGTTCTTTCGGTAAAGTCACGTGGGTATAAAATAAATCACGACGTTTCGGGCGCAACACAAGCGTCCCATCATCAGGTGGGAAAGCCGTGGTCTGCTGCTGAGGCAGACTGTTTTAAAAGGTTTGAAATGGGTGCAGCTCAAGGGTTATAAAGCAGCAGACCACGGCTTTCCCACCTGATGATGGACGCTTGTGTCACCGCCCGAAACGTCGTGATTTATTTAATTTTATACCTACCACGTGACTTTAACGAAAGAACCAATATTAATTATTTATCAGAGCATGTTTGTTGACATGTTCAACACAAGTACCGTGTGCGATTAAAGCAGACATGATTCCTTGCAAAATATGTATATTCGGTGTTTGAAAATGTTTTTAATACCTGAAAGGGTAAACCCTATTCTTGTTTTTTCAAACTTTGACAATGGTTGAGTCTATGGGTCTCTATGTAAGTCAATGGGTTTCTGTGAGTCTATGGGTCCTTCCTTATGAGTCTATATAAAACCGGGAGCAAGCGAGGGCTTTACCATTCTGGCGAATTGCCCGATGATGCTGGATGTATTTACCAGCGAAACGTCGTACTCAAACTGTAAATGTGGATTCACTCTTCAACACACCGGTGGGCTAAAGTAGTGAATTATTTGTCTTTTTGTCAACGTGACACTTTTTTTGCTGATTGGCCGTGTCGGGTGGTGGAGGGTTACGACACATTTATAAATAAACGCGATCTAACCCAAAAACCTTTATGAATTATTATGAGTCTGGATGAGTAAGTCTTATGACTATCTGTGTACGCCTATGGGTCCATATTCTCATTTACTAAGATAATATTTAGCAATGTTTACATGAAAAACCACCCACGATGTGAGTGCATCTCGAAAGCTAAGCAGTGAGGAGCCTGTAGGTTTGGGCGATCGACGCTCATAACAGGTGTTATAGGCATGGGCAGCAGTACAGCTGCCCTCTCTACCCTCCCACGAACCCCCCCTATACTGACGAAAGTGGTGAAGTATGGCAAAAATAACCCGCACGAAACACGGACGCACGCACATCGCGTACAAACGCCTTTAATTAAAAACGTAAGCGCGCCATAAATGTGAACGCGATTCGGCTTCTAAGTCGCAAACACAACGCGTTCCATTCCCTTCAGCCTAAGACGCGGTTAATGCTTTGGCAACTTAACAGTGTATGGTTGAACTTCTTTCGCACCGTACGTAGCCAACCGCGCTAAAACGGGAGGCGCGGGGGAAGGGTAACAAACCAAAGTTTGTGGCATGATGACGAGCGTCCACACCCGCGCGTTCAGTCTGTAGGGTTTTTTTTATTTTCACTTTCTTTTAAACGCTTCATGCAACCCAAACGCGTCAGCCACTGTGCGGCACTGTACTTACAGTCGAATTTTACCGCCAAATTTTTTTTTCTCCTCGCGCGGACACCTCGCGCGACGACGCGCTCGAGCCCTCCGCCGCGTGACGTCACGCCCCCGCCGAGTGACGTCATTCTCCCACTTGTCGCGTGACGTTTCCCCGCCACGACGACTGAGTAGCGAGAGCATCGCGCGTGACGTCACGGCGACTTCCTTCCCTCACGCGGCCGCGTTTGTGACGTCGACTGCGCCACCCAGTTGGCCGTGTGACGTCATCGCGAATCGGCTTAACGTGTTCACGTTAGGGCTAAACGATTAATCGATTTCAAATCGAAATCGCAATTTGAATACAACGCGATTGGCAAATCGCAAAGGCTGCGATTTGAAAAGTCCTCTTTCTTATTGTAATTGTTTTATTTGTATTATTAGAATTTTAATTATTTAACTTAACAGTTATTCTATGTTCGATTGTTCCATTTCAATTAAAACGTTTTAATAAATACACGTTGGAAGCTATTCGTATCTTTAAAGTTCTCATCCTTGCATTAGAATATCTAGAGCAGTTCATATTTTGATGGTATCACGTGGTAATGCTCCATCACGTGTTTTAAATCTATTGAACAGTGAATACTCTTTGGTTATTTTGGTAGAATTTTTTGTTAAATACAATTTTTATAATTATTTTTTCTATCTGGATCCTTGCAGTCACGAAAACTTCAAATCAAGATCACACAGTGAATATAGAACTGAAGCTTGATTTAAAAACATTGAATCGCAAATCAAATCGCAATGTCAGGAAAATCTCAATTTGATTTTTTCCCCCAATCGTGGAGCCCGAGTTCACATCGGGGGGAGGTGGTGGGGGGAGGTGAAGTATGGTCAAACTACCCCCGCGGCTCAGTCAAAGGCCCCCCAATCCAGCAGTGGATCGGCAAAACAGGCCGTACGCATGCCACTGTGCGTGCCGCGTTAATTCGATTATAGAGCTCTTGGGCCCTTTCGGTAAAGTCACGGAGATTGAACACGAAGAAAATAACAAACAAACAAAACTACGACGTTTCGATCGCAACACGAGCGCTCGTCATCAGGAAGAGGGGAACCCCCCCTCTCCTCTTCCTCCCTTCTTCCTGATGACGAGGGGAGCCCCCCTCCCCTCTTCCTCCCCTCTTCCTCCCCCCTTCCTGATGACGAGGGGAGCCCCCTCTTCCTCCCCTCTTCCTGATGACGAGGGGAGCCCCCCTCCCCTCTTCCTCCCCTCTTCCTGATGACGAGGGGAGCCCCCCTCCCCTCTTCATCCCCTCTTCCTGATGACGAGGGGAGCCCCCTCTTCCTCCCCTCTTCCTCTCCTCTTCCTCCCCCCTTCCTCCCCCCTTCCTGATGACGAGGGGAGCCCCCTCTTCCTCCCCTCTTCCTCTCCTCTTCCTCCCCCCTTCCTCCCCCCTTCCTGATGACGAGGGGAGCCCCCTCTTCCTCCCCTCTTCCTGATGACGACCGCTCGTGTTGCGATCGAAACGTCGCAGGTTATTTTTTGTGTTTGTTATTTTCTTTGTGTTCAATCTCCGTGACTTGACCGAAATACGCAGGGAATATGAATTCCTGTAGTCACGAAAGCTTTAAGTCAAGAATAATAGAGCTCATCTTCTTTGCTTCTTTCGGTAAAGTCACCAACACGTAGAATGAGAATTAAATAATAAATTGATAAAATAAAATAACACAATAAAATTCTCACGACGTTTCGGCCACAACACAAGCGGCCTTCATCAGGTGAAGGGACGAGACTGTCTGGAGGACATCCTTGCCTTCTGCTAAACCACTGCCTGCCTAGGCAATTGAGGGGGTGGGGGTTATAGGCGACGTTTCGGGCAATGGCCCTGCTAAGTTTGTTTGCAGGTAGGCGGGCATGGCGCTATCACCGCTCGGGCCCACTTGGTGCCAGCGCGCCCTCTGGTGGCCAAATTCCGTCACCACACCTCGCTCGGCCACAGCGGGGACGAGGAGGAATGAGGAGGTGGGATGGGGACCCCTGACGCGAGAGAGGGGAGGCTCGCCCCCAGACGACCACCTGCAGCGGTGACGCCGTGGGAGGGTTGTCACTCACGTTGTCACTCACTGTGCTCATCTCACTTCCAGGACCTGCCATCATCAAAGTGCACGGACCCGTTGCCCGTGTCACCTGGCCGCACAGGTGAGAGATGAGGAGCCACGGACTCTCACGCAGCTGTCACGCGGCGCTCATCGGCTCCCGACGGCAAAAAAAAAACAAAATGTTGACACTCGACGCCTTCCGTGGGTAAACAGACGTGATGATAATAACAAGGAGACGAAGATCCCCCGTGTAGCCTTAGCAGACTGTAGGGGCAAGTGCTGTTAGCGAGCAACTATGAAGGCCGGAACGGTACACGAGGGGGGTGGGTGTCCAGCACCACGCCCGACCGCCTTTGGCTCCCCAGTGGCGATGTTTACACACCGCACCAGATACTCGCTTAAGGCCGAGTCGACCTAGGGGATGCCCATGACCGGTTCAGATAATCGTCACCGGTGTTGGCCGTGAGCGAGAATCGAACCCGGGTCGCCAGGTTCGTAGCGCAGCGTAGCGCTCACCGCTACACCACCGTTCCGATAATAACAAACACACATTAACACACACACATTAACACACACATTAACACACACATTAACACACACACACAAACACACATTAACACACACACACATTAACACACACACATTAACACACACATAAACACACACATTAACACACACACACACATTAACACACACATAAACACACACACATTAACACACACACATTAACACACACACATTAACACACACAACAACCGCCATTCGCCACTAAGTGGCGGTGACGTCACCACGACGCTTGTGCCAGGCCATGTGCACCCTGAGGCCACGTGGAGTGTCGAACGCCCGCTGGCAGGAGGTCACGGGGCAGACCCAGCAGGTGCCACGGGTCGACTGACTGAGATGACTGAGATGACTGGCTGGTGCACCACCTGTGCCCCCTACTGTGCCAACCTGCTGTGCTTTAGCCACATACATTAACACACAAACATACGCGCACGCAAGCCAAGTAAAGCTCGCTGAGCTATGATAGCTCTTTTCCAGACGCGAACCTGGATATCAACGAAGTGGCTTACATCGTCGTGTGGAAATGTACAGCAGCCAAACACTCTAAGCGCAATGTTTCGAAATGTAAAGGGTAACACCAAATACGAAGAACCCCGTGAAATAGCCACGTGACCGCGGGGAGAGAGACACGCAAACTGCAAATATATCGAAATCCCTCATTTCGATCGGATCATTGGGGTTTATTCGTAATAAATCAGCATTTTCCGACCCCCACTGCCACTGTGTAGCGTATTATTACGTGCCAGGGACTCTACGAGATGATAGGACAACAGTCTGAGTCCATACTTGGCAATAAGTAACGGCAAAGCGGTTATAAGTGACTCAGAATTGTGCGCAGCTGCGTATCCAGTCCACGACTTCCCTGAAGGCATCGACACCTTCAGTGAGCGCGATGCCGATCACACAACGCGGTTCGAATTCGACCCTCGATCGATGTCTGCGTCATGGCCGCACACGTGTCGAGTAACAAGCAAGGGACAAGTCCTTACTTATTACTAACTTCTTACTAACAAGACCTTACTAACAACTCCTTACTTACAACTCCTTACTTACCATTAGCAACTTCTTACTAACAACTCCTTACTAACAACTTACTAACAAATCCTTACTAACAACTCCTTACTTACTAACAACTCCTCACTAACAACTCCTTACTAACAAGACCTTACTAACAACTCCTTACTAACTCATTACTTACTAGCAACCCCTTGCTTACTAACAACACCTTACTGACAACTCCTTACTTGCTAACAACTCCTTACTAACAACTCCTTACTAGCAACGCCTTACCAACAACTCCTTACTAACAACTACTTACTAACAACTCCTTACTTACGAACAACTCCTTACTAACAACTCCTTACTAACAACTCCCTACTTACTAACTCCTTACTAACAACTCCTTACTTACTAACAACTCCTTACTAACGACTACTAACAACTCCTTATTAACAACGCCTTACTTACTAGCAACTCCTTACTAACAACTCCTCACTTACAACGCCTTGCTTACTAACAACTCCTTACTAACAACTACTACTAACAACTCCTTACTTACTAACAACTCCTTACTAATAACTCCTTACTCACTAACAACTCCTTACTTACTAACAACTCCTTACTAACACTTCCTTACTTACTAACAACCCCTTACTAACAACTCCTTACTAACACTTCCTTACTTACTAACAACCCCTTACTAACAACTCCTTACTTACTAACAACTCCTTACTTACTAACAACTTCTTACTAACACCTCCTTACTTACTAACAACCCCTTACCAACAACTCCTTACTTACTAACAAGTCCTTACTAACAACTCCTTACTAACAACTCCTTACTAGCAACTCCTTGCTGACAACTCCTTACTCACTAACAACCCCTTACTCACTAACAACTCCTTACTAACAACTCCTTACTTACTAACAACTCCTTACTTACTAACAACTCCTTGCTAACAACTCCTTACTTACTAACAACTCCTTACCAATAGCTCCTTACTAACAACTCCTTGCTAAGAAGTCCTTACTAACTGACAACTCCTTACTCACTAACAACTCCTTACTTACTAACAGCTCCTTACTCAGTAACAACTCCTTACCAACTAACAACTCCTGACTTACTAACAACTCCTTACTAACACCTTAATTACTAACAACCCCTTACTAACAACTCCTTACTTAATAACAAGTCCTTACTAACAATTCCTTACTAACAACTCTTTACTAACAACTCCTTTCTGGCAACCCCTTACTCACCAACAACTCCTTACTAACAACTCCTTACTTACTAACTCCTTACTTACTAACAACTCCTTACTAACAACCCCTTACTTACTAACAACTCCTTACTAACAACTCCTTACTTACTAACAACTCCTTACCAACTCCTTACTTACTAGTAACTCCTTACTTACTAGCAACTCCTTACTTACTAACAACGCCTTACTTACTAACAACTCCTTACTTACAACTCCTTACTTACTAACAACTCCTTACCTGCTT